ATATATATATATTCTTTCAATATTTTATATTTTTTATGCCTACAGGTCCATGAAGATCTTTACCAATTAAAGGAAAAATTAACAAAATTCCCACTTGAGGGAAAAGGAGAGACTCCAGACATTCAGAATCTTGAAACAGCGATTGAGAGGACTGAAATGGGGTTAAAAGTAAGTACCACATCAGCTTTAAATACAATTCTGGAAGGAGACAAAGATTCTTCTAAAATGAAAGAATTGAGCTTCTCATAGGACCCTTCGCAATTCTGTAACTGAGGTGGAGTTAGGGTGGTCATCAGCATTTTCATTCTCTTCCTTTATTAATGGTAATGATAATTATTAACCAACTGATTGATGTGTGTCTCCTCTCCTTCCACACAGAATTTCAAAAGATGTTGATAATGTAAAATTATGCAGCGACAATCCCTAAATTGTGGTTTGGAAAATATAAGAGTTGACTTTTCTCTTATAGCTTAATTGCTTTGAGATTTTTTTTTAAGGTATTTTTTAAAAATGTTTTATTATGAATTATGTGATAGTTTACATGGGAGAACATTAGCCTTACATTCATCCTATCATATATCATTTCACTGCCGTGATTACAATCCCCTCCATGCATCCTCAACCAACCAAAGGGTTTACCCTGCAAGCCTGCCCCCCGGTCGTCAGCACACAGCCCCTCTTCCTCTCTGGGTCTAAAGTCTCCAGCCGTTCCATCTCTCCGTCATCATCTCTGCCTCCATCTCTGGCATCACTGCTTCTCTGGCTAGGGTCCCACACTCCGTTCTTCTCCCATAATAGTCCCAGGGACCTCCACTCCTGAACTGCAAAGTCAACCACTCCCCTCCTTGTGCTACAAAACGTCTACCTTTACATTTCCAACCCTCACAGTCAGTCCTGATAGCAATTATTCACTATTGTACTACATGAGTGCTATCCACATCTCCTTTCATCAGCCCTGCCCAGACAGATTGGATACTACTCAGTGGAGATTCTACCTTCTTCCACACCCCTCTGGATCTAGGATCCCTCTTGAAAGCTTGTCACTTCTTGCATGTGTAGAGCCCCATTTTGAGTAGGAGATTATTCATTTTTATAATATAATCATGTGAGTAAAACTCAAGACCCCAAGTTTGGAACATAGATATAAAGTAGATAGGGACTTTATCATGCTAGATGGGTGTGAAGGCAATGGAGAATCCAATCTGTTGTAGTTGTTGTTGTTAGGTGCTGTTGAGTCAGTACCGACTCATAGTGACATAAGCTTATGCACAGCAGAACGAAACACTGCCTATCCTGGGCCAACCTCACTATCATTGCCACTCTTGGGCCCATTGATGCTGCCACTGGGCCAATCCATCTCGCTGGGGGGTCTTCCTCTTTTTCTCTGACCCTTCACCCTACCAAACATGATATCCTTCTCCAGCGACCAGTCCCTCCTGACAATATTTCTGAAGTATGAGAGATGAAGCTTGGCCATCCTGGCCTCCAATGAGCACTCTGGCTTTACTTCTTCCAACACAGATCTGTTGGTTCTTTTGGCAGCCCATGGCACTTTCAATATTATCCTCCAACACCATAACTCAAAAGTATCAATTCTTCTACGGTCTTCCTTATTC